TTTTTTTTTTTTTTTTTTTTTTTTTTTTTTTTTCCATAAAATAACTCATGACAGGAATCCCTGGCAGCCCTTGGGGTGATGGGGTGGGCATCTACCACCCCTAAAAGCCGAAATCTGTGGGATTCTGGGGACACAGTCCCTGTGCCCTGACACGACGGTGATGGGCACCGGGAGAAACCCATTGTGAGAGGAGATTTTGGAGGGGGTAGGGGAGGTGGGGAAGGGGTCCCCTGATGCCACGGTGATGGGCATCAAGTGAAATCCATGGTGAAATGAGACTTGCGGGGGAGGAAAAAGGGGGTTCTCATGGCTTTAGGGTGCTCTGTAGGATGGGGTCACCCTTATCCCAAGGCTTTGAGGGGCCTGAGAAGGAGGAACGGGGTGAAGAAAGAGAAGTGCTTTCACACTGCCTCGTGCAGGCCTTTCCCTGGTGAAATTAGCTTTAATTAACACCCTGATGTTAAAATGAAGGGGGTTTCGGCAAGCTTGTTACTGTGGGAAAATATCTGGGCTGCTGCTGCCCTCGGATGGGATGTGGGGGTGGCTTCCTCCCTTGGAAACCTTCCTCCTTGGTTCATCCTGCCCTGCGAGGAGACCGTGGCGGAGACGGCTCGGTGGCTTGGTGACAGGGCTGGGGTGGCAGAGGTGGAAGCGAAAGCTCCAGCTCAGCAGATGTCAAAAGGGATGAAGGGAGGATGCTCCCGCCCTGCTTGGCCAAAGCCACAATGTCCCTGTCCCCAAACACAGCCTGGCTGGGCCCAGAACATCTTCAGGTGCCCGTGGCTGTGTCCCACCTGGCCCAGGCTTGGGTGTTTTAAGGGAAATCTCTGTTTATTGAAGCCCAAAGGTGTAATGATGTGGCCAAATTGTGACATTTTCGTGGACATGTGGGGCAGGGAGCAGGGACGGTCGCGCCGGTGATGCTGAGTGGCTCTGCCACTGATTTACTCTGTCCTCGAGTGACTCCCTTCACCTCCCCACACTTTGGTGTCCCGTCTCTAAAATAAACCAACATCTCAGGGATGCTCTGAGCAAGCCGGGCAGTGTTTTCCTGCTGGAAACGGGAGATGCTGGGGACGGGGAAGGTGCAATGAGTTGGCCTGGTCTCAGCTGGCAGCATGGGCTCTGGCTGGGCTTGTATAAATCCATACGTATAAACACACAATCATACAGGCACATACACAGCCACATGTTCCCCCACATACGTATGCACGAGCATATATGTACCAGCACATACAGCTCCGTATAAATACACCTTTATACATCCATACCTCTCTATAGCTATACCTCCATACATAAAGGCACCTCTATACGTACATACCTCTTTCGTTATCCATACTTCCACCCACAAATATACCTCTACACATATTTACCTCTATATCTATACCTCTACACATAAATATACCTCTACACATGTATACTTCTTTCCTATAGCTGTACCTCCACACATAAATATCTCTATAAATATATGTCTCTATCTATACCCCTATACATAAATGCACCTCCCTACATATATACCTATCTCTATATCTATACTTCTACTCATAAATATCCCTCTACACATATATACCTCTCTCTATATACCTCTATACTAAATATACATCTAGACATATATACTTCTTTCTATACCCGTACCTCTACACATAAATATACCTCCATACATATATACTCCTCTATCTATACCTTTATACATAAAGGCACCTCTATACATATATACCTCTTCCTTTATCTAGATTTCTACACACAAATACACCTCTACACATATATACTTCTATCTATACCCCTCTACATAAATATCCCCCCAGACATATATATACAAACGTATATATGGCTCTACATGCACCTATATATGCCCACATTTCTCCGTACATATCTATAGAAATATAGATGTCTCCACAGACACATATATACAAACTTCTGTACCTATATACACAAATAGATGTCTCGGAGCACATGGACTCACACACGTATATACATAACTCCGTCCATACATATACAAATGTATTTGTGCTTCTATACACACGGCTACGCACACATGCTCATATACACAAATACATTTCTAGTTCTGCGTGTATATATGTGCAAATCCTCACAGATTTATACAAAAGGGCAGAGGCCAGGCTCCTGGCACCCGCAGCGGAGGTGCTGGGGAAGACCAGGTCCCTCGAGCAGGATGCTCCGGGAGGTCCAAGCGCATCCCGGGCGCACCCAGACGGTGGGAGCAGAGGGTCTGGGGTGAACCCACCCGCGGAGCTCTGCACCAGCCCTGCCCTGGGGGTCACGGCGTGATTTGAAGCCCTGCTCCGCTGTTAAACCTCCCCAGAAAGTTGCAGCTGTGATGTGGGGTGGCTTTGGGACCAGCCTAGAGCCCAACCACAGCACCAACGCTCTCCGGCTCTGGCCCTGTCCTCTCCAGCTCAGCCTCATCCTGCCCACTTCGGTCTAATCTGCTCAGGTCCGATCCCGCCTGGTTCACACTGACCTGCTCTGGTCCCATCCTGCCCAGTCTGGTCTGACCCACTGGGGTCTCATCCTGCCCAGTTTGGTCTGACCCTCTCGGGTCTCATCCTGACCCGGGTTTGCCTGACACGCTCGGGCCCGATCCTGTCCAGTCCAGCCCCATCCTGCCTGACCCTTCTGGGTCCCATCCTGCCCAGTTTGACCAGACTCTCTCGGGTCTCATCCTGACCCGGGTTTGTCTGACCCGTTGGGGTCCCATCCTGCCCAGCTCGATCTGATTCGTTGGGAACCCATCCTGCCCAGTTTGGTCTGACCTACTGGGGGTCCCATCCTGCCCAGTTTGACCTGACTCTCTCGGGTCTCATCCTGACCCGGGCTTGTCTGACCCTTTCGGGTCCCATCCTGCCCAGCTCGATCTGACCCGTTGGGGTCCCATCCTGCCCAGTGTTACCCGACCCTCTCGGGTCTCCCCCTGACCCGGATCCTGTCCAGTCCGGCCCCATCCTGCCCGGTCCTGTCTGACCCTTTTGGGTCCCATCCTGCCCGGTCCAGCCCCATCCTGCCCTGTCCCCTCTGCCCCCCTCGGGTCCCATCCTGCCGCGGTTCCGTTGGTCCCGTCCCTCCCGTACGCGGCACTTACCGGCAGCGGGATGCGGCAGGGCAGCAGCGGTGCTCAGCGGCCGTGGTCCCCGTGTCCCCCCCTCCCCT